CCAAGCACGTGCTCTTGTGATGGCAACCAGAACTGATGACAACGCCTCCAGCTCGGATCATTTGGTTCTTTCGACGACTGATCACGATGCCGACGGTCAAAGGCGTCTTCTGCTGTCTGCTAGTCTGGAGCGGTCTTTTGCAGACATTCACTGCCGCTGCAACTGCTGCTGGGGATGCCGTGGCGCAGCTTCCGCCGGTGCTGCTCGACGCGGCCGGTAACCTGGTCAACGAGAAGGGCTATCTGCTCATGTTCCACGGTTTCAATTCTGTGAAAAAGGAGCCGCCCTACTTTGACAAGAATTCACTGGACCGAAAGCAGCTGAAGATGTACGCTGACTGGGGCCTGAATGTCGTCCGATTGGGTGTGATTTGGGCGGCTCTGGTGCCCCAGAAGGGCGTAGTCAACGAGACCTACTTGGAGCGGATCGAGGAGATCGTCAACCGGATGGGCGAGGCCGGGATCTACGTTATCCTCGACATGCATCAGGACGGTATGTCCAGTCTGTTCAACACATATGACGCCATTCCCAGCTGGCTCCTCAAGGAGTTTCCCAAGCCGCCCTGGCCCTTCCGGTTCCCATGGCCCCGGTCGACACCGCCGGAACCGGAGAACAATTACGAAGCCTATCTGACCTACGCATGCCAGTCGGCCTTTCAATGCCTCTATGACGACACCGCCAAGGCCTGGCAACACTGGGGCGACTTTTGGGCAACGATAGCGCAGCGATTCGCACAAAACTCAGCCGTCCTCGGCTATGAATTGATAAACGAACCATTTGCAGGCAACATCTTCACCAATCCACTCAGAGCCTTACCAGGTAAGCACGCCATGTCGCCTGACAACTGGACTTTGGATAAAGTAGATGCAGCTCTTAAATTGGCACCAGCATCGCTGCCAAGGTGACTTTTCTTTCAGGCTTAGATGAGCCCATTCACATTCCCGGGCATTCAGGCACTCGTGCTCCTCGAGACAGTCTTCTTTGGTTTCGGTAAAATATGTCTACCGACAAATTACACCGCTTGCACCCTGTTCTGGGAGCCAGACAAATAAAGAATGTATTACATCCGTTTGTATGTCTGTATTACGGTAGGCATATATGTCGGCGTGTGTGTGTGTGTGTGTGTGTGTGCTTTCTCGGGAGTGTAAACACAAGATGGCCGTCCAGCTTCATAAAGCTTCACTTCACTTAAAACGAAGTCAAAGTCTGCTGAAGAAACAAATTATTCTGTCGGCGATTCAACTAAAACCGTCTTACCCGCATAGGCGACTTCTTAAAAAGCTGTTTTATCCCAAAGCCATGCCGGCCTGAGTCCGCTGCGTCGGCAGGCGGGAGTAGATGATCAGTTCCGCTTCCGCTAATGTTGTACATGGGGGCTGGTTCGCCGATGGGTTGTCCTCGTGACTAGCCAACCAAGAGTGAAGTCGACATCCTCTACAAGGACCTTCGTGACGTGGACAAGTGGCGCAGGCAAAAAGCGACACGAGATTCCATGTCGGCTGACTGTGGCTAAGCGGAGATGAAACATTTTGACTTTTCCGCCTCTTGTTTACATGAAGC